TATTATGTCTTGATAAATGTTTGTGCTTTAATGTCTTTACATGTCTTAGGTTAATGCTTTTAGAGAATGGAGGGCACTTTCCTTGACACTGAATGATACCAAGAAAGCTATTGAAAGACTTCATTGGGTGGTAAATGTCTTTGTCATTATCATCATAGTAGTCATAAGTCTCCTTATGCTAGGAATAACAACCGAGGAAGTCCTACTCGTGGCTAGCACCCAAGTTCTTTTGCTTGCTTTCATATTTAGAGACACTTTGAAGCCAATAATTCAATCAATTGTCTTCATATTTATAACACACCCATTCGATGTTGGTGACCGTTGTCAGATTGATGGTGTTCAGGTAAGTTGATAATCATATGAACTACATCCTCATCTAGTCATCTTTGGCCTTTATGGTCTTAAAATTTTCTATTTCTTGTATGTTTGTGGCCTAAATTGAAATGCGATGGATTTCAGATGGTAGTAGAAGAAATTGGCATCTTGAACACTATTTTCTTGGGACACGACAACGAGAAGATCATGATCCCAAATAGTGTCCTTGCTAGTAAAGCCATCTGTAACTTTTATTTAAGCCCAGACATGGGAGATGAAATTGAGTTTTGTGTCCACATAGCTACTCCAGTGGAAAAGATTGATCTGATGAAACAAAAGATACTAAGGTAAGTTTGCCTACTTGCTTGCTTGCTTGCATGCGTGTGGGTTTGTGGCACTCATGTGTAGGTAATTTAAGCAAATGGCTTTGATCTTAATATGATTGCTTTGATGTATCTATTGGCATCTGCAGGAGTCCTTATGCGTATATAACACTAAACTTGATTATTTTCTCATAATGCAGTTCAATAAAGAATAATAAGAAACATTGGTATCCAGAGACAAAGATGGTCTGCATGGATATTGAAGACTTGAATAAGCGGAGGTTTAATGTCTCTCTCAAACACAAAATGAACTATCAAAACATAGAAGAGAGGGAGAATAGAAGATCACATTTGCTGGATGAGATTACTAACATTTTAATGGAACTGGAAATAATTCAGTTGCCTTAGGAATACGATGGTTTTTTTATATAATTATGGTTTACATTTCAAATTTAGTTTTGTATTCAATATGATTAGTAATTCGGCAAGCATATGATTATTAGTTATCCACTTGTTCTTCCTTTGATTGTTATGATTTCTCACTAGTTTGACTGCCATTCAGTTCTTAAAACCATGTTTGATTTCATTATCATCTTTAAGGATTTAATTCAGTTCTTTTTTTTTTATAGGCATAAATTTCATTTCGTTAAGTGTCAAGTTTAGGAGGATTTCATTTTGTTGCAGATAAATTTTAGAGCCTATTTGGGAAAATATGACTTCCATTCAATGTGATGATTTTCAAAAAATTGAGCTTAAATATTGCCTGTTGGTTTAGGGATAAGATTATAATATTATGCCCTATCAAGGGAACTTTTATATTCCCATGTAATATTGTATTGATTAAAGCTTCTTTTTTCTATTAACTAGTGTTGGTTTTATCTCTTCGAGACTGTAAATTTGCTTCTACTGTTACTTTATTATATCTTTTTAACATGTTTATGTAAAATTAGTATCACAAGCGAAAGGATGCTTCTTCTGTTACACAATTTTCACAACGTTTTACACAAAGAAGATAAAAGACTGCTTCAATTGCAGAATAAAAATGGTATACAATTAACTGGAAGTTATTTTAGATAAAAGGCAAGCTTTTTTCATCGCATCAAAAGCATTCTATATCTTACACTTGAGCATACCTAGGGAAATTTCTCTTTACAGTTTGGCAAAACTTTAAATCAAAATTTGTGTATTTACAATCTTGAAAACATTATTTACATTCTGTATTTTTTCCAACATCACCAGCTAGCTCCTGCTCTCCAAATGCCATATAAGGTAGTAGCAATCCTGATTTTACACTTCTACTTGCATGGCCTCTTTCTTTTACAAATTTTCCTAATCACATCCATCTGTTCATTTCAACTGAACAGTATAGAACTCAAATGTATAATTGACTAGAATTAGTATCAAAATCAAACATGAAGAGTGCCAACTTCCCTCCATTTCAAAAACTCATCCATTTTTTTTTTCTTTCTTTGGTCTTCATCATGAAGGCTAATGAACAAAGCATATGAAAAACTAACTCACGGAACTAAAAGTTACAAGCACCTACTCTTGAAAGTAAAAAATCAAACCATAAAGGTCCGCAAAGCACTCACCCTACAAGGTCATCCTTTCTAAGAGTAAATCAAAACAACATGAAGAAGCAAAGTTTTGGACAATTCATATATTTAAGTTTGCAAATAATAATGAATAACCAATTTCCTAAGAACTACGATCTAAGAAGTATTGAAATGTCAACAACATACGCATTAGATATATGACTAGCCTAAATATAAAGTCAACCACAACATTAACAAATAGGCTAAAGGAGCAAAAGAATTACCTCAAAAAAAAATTATTGAATGATAAAACTTCCCTTACTTTAAAAAAATAATAATAATAACGAAGAAAATTTATATTTCAGATAAGTCTGATATAACCTTTTTTATTTTTATAAGAATATAACTTGGTCACACTAAATAAACGATCCCATCAAGGCAATAAGAGCTCAAGGTACTAAATATTAAGCAAAGCTCCTCATGTTCCTGCTTTTTCCTTCTTGACCTGGTCATCTCATCATGCAGAAAGTATGTCAACCATAGTCTCAATAATACCAACCCAGAT